ACGTAATTCCAAAAACGATCGTATAATCTTTGATACTGACTTTTGATTCCATCAGATGAAATTAAAGGTAAGAGCTGAGAATAAAGGGGATGTTGAGGGCCAGACAGTATAGATATAAACTATTTCTCGCATGAGTTCAGATGTCTTTCAACTAATGCATAAACGAGTTGACTAAATGGTACACCACCTGCTCTACTGACAACCTTAATATCCTGCACAATACGACATAGTCGTTTCTGAGTAATTCAGGAAAGAATAAGGGGGAGCAGTAAAGACCAATGCAAGAGTTAACAAATTGCCAACCTACCACTTGGCAATAATGATTGTTTCCAAATGTTTCGAAAGCTATCAGAAGGCTTGTTTGAGTTGGTCACGATGAGTTCCTTCACCTCTACTAGTTATCGGATTGCTTTTTGGATATGCACAAGCAAAGTCTGACCCATGCAGGCCATCATGGACGAAATGCTGAAACATATGCGGAGATGGGTATACCAAAAGATATTCGAAGAAACTCAGAAGGAGCAAACAGTGTAAAGTCTGCAGTCTTTGAAACATAACGAGGACAGAGTTACCCTGCAGGGTAATATCGCAGTTTTGCCGAAAATTGAATAGAAGCATTTCACTCATACAAGATTTATACAGTAATGAATACACTATTAACTCACCAAGCTCAGCCCTACATTACCCTATAAAATCTACTTGTTTGGAAATGAAACATGTACATATATATTGTGTCATTAACTTCAGATACACATTAGCATCCAAATTTCATACGCCTTATGTCTCACTATTCCATGTAATAATAGTTTGTTAGTTATTTACGAATGCAGTGATAAGTATTTCATGGGCCACGAGTAGCACTTGTTATTCAGCAAAGGTGTGGGCACTTAGTGATTGTAATTTAGAGAACTAACACGACAAGGTTAGCTTTTTTCTAATATATACGCAATGAAAAGATAATGACGAATTGTTATCACAAGTATTGTATTTACTATGGAGGGAATGTTTTTACAGGCAAACTTCACAGTAACATGTACAAGTCTTGCATATCATTGCATCAGTAATATTAGCATACTAATTGCATCACAGCCAAATGTAAATAATCTAAAGGCATAGTAACAACAACTTTGCGGGAGGTAGATGTATTGAAAGACTGCTTGCAGACACTATGTATGATAGCATCTAGTAGAAAGTCTACAAAGACTAACAACCTGCAATGAGGAAGACAAAATTGAAACAATTAGGAGACACATAAAGTACAAGATAATGAGTACATATGTGATGGAAAACGACCAGTGATATGGAAAAAATATATAAGGGTTGCTCAGATATGTGAGAATACGCAGAGTGAATGCATCTGTGTCATTAACAACGTTTGGAACACATTTCTACTTAACACACATTAAGCTTAACCTCAATATTACTCATCACGTTAGTCTACTTAATACAGAAGAAAGGGTACAGACACTGCGATCAAAAACCAGTAGTCTTTTCATATCTTTCAGTTTCAGTGGTCACTTCTTGCAGCCTAAGTGGACAATACCATCAGCATACACTAAGTTGACAAGACTGTTCCTTGGTAAGTCCCTAAAGTGAGTGACGAACAATTTGGTTAATACATGTATGATGAATGTGAACTAAAATAAGGAGGACAGTTGTAGAAATGAGCTTTGTATTATATCCTTCTTGGAAATATCAGTTCCCTCATAGTTTAGTGTCAGTATTAAGTGAATGGAATGTAGTCTAGAGATTCATAAAATTCACATACTGACCTACTTTTTTTTCTAGAATCCTAGTTGATGTCTCCTCAGTAAAGTTATAAATGGGCATTGTACTTGTGTAAACTCAATAGAATGTGAACTGCTGCCAATGAAAACGACAACAATTTTTAGAATTACGTAATTCCAAAAACGATCGTATAATCTTTGATACTGACTTTTGATTCCATCAGATGAAATTAAAGGTAAGAGCTGAGAATAAAGGGGATGTTGAGGGCCAGACAGTATAGATATAAACTATTTCTCGCATGAGTTCAGATGTCTTTCAACTAATGCATAAACGAGTTGACTAAATGGTACACCACCTGCTCTACTGACAACCTTAATATCCTGCACAATACGACATAGTCGTTTCTGAGTAATTCAGGAAAGAATAAGGGGGAGCAGTAAAGACCAATGCAAGAGTTAACAAATTGCCAACCTACCACTTGGCAATAATGATTGTTTCCAAATGTTTCGAAAGCTATCAGAAGGCTTGTTTGAGTTGGTCACGATGAGTTCCTTCACCTCTACTAGTTATCGGATTGCTTTTTGGATATGCACAAGCAAAGTCTGACCCATGCAGGCCATCATGGACGAAATGCTGAAACATATGCGGAGATGGGTATACCAAAAGATATTCGAAGAAACTCAGAAGGAGCAAACAGTGTAAAGTCTGCAGTCTTTGAAACATAACGAGGACAGAGTTACCCTGCAGGGTAATATCGCAGTTTTGCCGAAAATTGAATAGAAGCATTTCACTCATACAAGATTTATACAGTAATGAATACACTATTAACTCACCAAGCTCAGCCCTACATTACCCTATAAAATCTACTTGTTTGGAAATGAAACATGTACATATATATTGTGTCATTAACTTCAGATACACATTAGCATCCAAATTTCATACGCCTTATGTCTCACTATTCCATGTAATAATAGTTTGTTAGTTATTTACGAATGCAGTGATAAGTATTTCATGGGCCACGAGTAGCACTTGTTATTCAGCAAAGGTGTGGGCACTTAGTGATTGTAATTTAGAGAACTAACACGACAAGGTTAGCTTTTTTCTAATATATACGCAATGAAAAGATAATGACGAATTGTTATCACAAGTATTGTATTTACTATGGAGGGAATGTTTTTACAGGCAAACTTCACAGTAACATGTACAAGTCTTGCATATCATTGCATCAGTAATATTAGCATACTAATTGCATCACAGCCAAATGTAAATAATCTAAAGGCATAGTAACAACAACTTTGCGGGAGGTAGATGTATTGAAAGACTGCTTGCAGACACTATGTATGATAGCATCTAGTAGAAAGTCTACAAAGACTAACAACCTGCAATGAGGAAGACAAAATTGAAACAATTAGGAGACACATAAAGTACAAGATAATGAGTACATATGTGATGGAAAACGACCAGTGATATGGAAAAAATATATAAGGGTTGCTCAGATATGTGAGAATACGCAGAGTGAATGCATCTGTGTCATTAACAACGTTTGGAACACATTTCTACTTAACACACATTAAGCTTAACCTCAATATTACTCATCACGTTAGTCTACTTAATACAGAAGAAAGGGTACAGACACTGCGATCAAAAACCAGTAGTCTTTTCATATCTTTCAGTTTCAGTGGTCACTTCTTGCAGCCTAAGTGGACAATACCATCAGCATACACTAAGTTGACAAGACTGTTCCTTGGTAAGTCCCTAAAGTGAGTGACGAACAATTTGGTTAATACATGTATGATGAATGTGAACTAAAATAAGGAGGACAGTTGTAGAAATGAGCTTTGTATTATATCCTTCTTGGAAATATCAGTTCCCTCATAGTTTAGTGTCAGTATTAAGTGAATGGAATGTAGTCTAGAGATTCATAAAATTCACATACTGACCTACTTTTTTTTCTAGAATCCTAGTTGATGTCTCCTCAGTAAAGTTATAAATGGGCATTGTACTTGTGTAAACTCAATAGAATGTGAACTGCTGCCAATGAAAACGACAACAATTTTTAGAATTACGTAATTCCAAAAACGATCGTATAATCTTTGATACTGACTTTTGATTCCATCAGATGAAATTAAAGGTAAGAGCTGAGAATAAAGGGGATGTTGAGGGCCAGACAGTATAGATATAAACTATTTCTCGCATGAGTTCAGATGTCTTTCAACTAATGCATAAACGAGTTGACTAAATGGTACACCACCTGCTCTACTGACAACCTTAATATCCTGCACAATACGACATAGTCGTTTCTGAGTAATTCAGGAAAGAATAAGGGGGAGCAGTAAAGACCAATGCAAGAGTTAACAAATTGCCAACCTACCACTTGGCAATAATGATTGTTTCCAAATGTTTCGAAAGCTATCAGAAGGCTTGTTTGAGTTGGTCACGATGAGTTCCTTCACCTCTACTAGTTATCGGATTGCTTTTTGGATATGCACAAGCAAAGTCTGACCCATGCAGGCCATCATGGACGAAATGCTGAAACATATGCGGAGATGGGTATACCAAAAGATATTCGAAGAAACTCAGAAGGATCAAACAGTGTAAAGTCTGCAGTCTTTGAAACAATGAGGACAGAGTTGGATCTACTGATAAGCATGTGTCAAGTCACGTCTGCCGAAAACAAATGGGCTTTTCAAATGTCATGTCATGTATTCATGGATCTGGGCAACACTCTTGGGCCATTTCGACATTCAGCCTTCCGTAATTGGCCCAAGGCATGCAGTCCATGCCACTGTTATTATGCAGCATACATAGTGGTGAAGACTACATGCTGTTGGATAGTCCAGAACCCCCATCTCCAACACATTTTCTAACTCAGCATTACCGGTCTGGTGTTTCTGTGGAGAAAACCGCTATGTTTTGGTGAATGTAGGTGGGCCAGTCACCTTAGTGTGATGAATGACATTGGAGGCCACACAAAGAAAATCACAGCTGGGCCCAAAATAATGGACGCCAATCACCTCACCGCTACTGCAAATGAAGAAAACGCATAAATTAACTGATGCATTTTTCGTAATTCAATGAAATCTATATTTTCCTATTGAATCATTTCAAAGCTTACTTACCAATCAGTGCAGTTTGTGCAAAATTGCTTTGGTAAATGTTAATTACAGCGCAACCAATTGTTAGGGTTTGTTTTCTTACAGTCGCACATTTTGCGCTCACTTTTAAATTGTTCACGACGCAGGTAGGTGGTCGCTGTGGTCCCTTTTCAATTTTTCTCCTAGTCTAACACTAAATACCCTATATTAAGCCTGAAAAGAATACGTGAGCGTAATCTACAGTTGACCTGCCATTACACAACGTCTTACAAAAGATATAAACGTCATTATACGCAGACAATGGCCGAGATAAAGGTAGCGTCGACGTCAACGGAGGCTGTCTCACATGCTGTCCTTCCTGTTGAAGTCGAGCCCTCTTCAGTGAACACTGATACTATGACTAATGAAACCGAGGTAGTGCCATCGGCACCATGCAGCAGCGTAACACCAGCTGCTAGTACTTCGCAAATGTGCACACAAGTCTCTTCTGAACGTGATGATATGACAAGTATGCTTCTGAATACCCTGGTCACCACGAACATTTCACAAGCAGCCGCTAACAGAATATTGGAGATCTTCCGTGCGAAATTGCCTCAACTACCAACAACTGTTAGAAGTGTACTGAGAATGTGTGGGTCTTGCGAGTCTAGACTACTTGGAGAAGGAATGTACTGCTACATCAGTCTCAAAAAATGATTACATGGAGATGTCGTCTGTGATTGGAAGTCCCTGCAACATGATTGATCTGCAGTTGAATGTCGACGGATTGTCCATCTCTAAGTCTTCTAACCAGCAGTTACTGCCCCTGTTAGGTAGGATTACGGCACCGTTCTTAAGCAGTGTGTTCATGATAGGTATATACGGTGGTCCTAGCAAACCCAGTAGTTACAAAGAGTTATGCAATGACTTAGTATCTGAACTAAAGGATATACTAAGTCAAGGCATACATATGACCAGACTTAATAGACATTTCAACATTCGTTTGACAGCCGTCATCTGTGATGCACCGGCTAGGGCGGACCTGAAATATATAGTAGGTGATAATGCCAGCTCTGGCTGCGACAAATGCACAGTAACCGGATTAAAAGTTGACGGAAGAATGATATTTGGGAATGGTTTTTTTCCAATACGAACTGATGACAGCTTCCGTAAAAGGATGCAGCCAAGTCACCACCGTGGAGAGTGTATTTTTGAGGAATTAAATATTGATATGGTAAAATGCTTCCCTCTTGATCCAATGCACCTAGTATATTTAGGGGTAGTTAGGAAGCTAACAAGTCTCTGGCAAGACTTAGCTAAAAGAAATGAGATGCACGTCAACCGTCTCATGCTTGAAAATATTGACGGGAAGATATTACCTTGTGCTGGAATGACACCCAGGGACTTCCCGAGGAAGTGTAGGGGGGTCACCGAAGTTAGTCGGTGGAAAGCCACTGAATGTCGCCTCTTCCTCCTGTACCCAGGACCAGTTTTACTTAAGGACATTATGCCACTGGCAATCTACCGCAACTACCGAAGACTGAGTCTTGCAGTTTATCTTCTGTCCCACTCTAAGTTTTATCGAAATTACTTAGAAGGTTGCAGAGTTGAGTTACTCAACTTTCTGGATGAGTTTGAAGTGATATATGGCAGGGAGCACCTCGTTTATAACATCCATTGTCTGCAACACTTGGCTGAAGATGTCAATGAAATGGGACCGTTAGAATCTTTTTCGGCGTTCCCATTTGAATCTTATATGCAGACAATCAGGCGATCTATACATTCCAACAATGCAATCACTAAGCAAGCGGCACAACGGTTTGCTGAAAAGGTGTTTCACGACTGCAACTCAGGAGAAGTATACAATAACGTTATAAATCACTGTGAGGTTGATGCACGTAGGCAAATAGTTAACACCAGTAATACAGTTATAACTTCCTCTTCACCAGATAACTTAGTCATAGCTCACGGTAGACCGGGTCTGATAGCACAGATAAACAAGGAAGGACTAATATTCAGACCTTATGCAGACGTTTGTGATTTCTTCGACGACCCATTTAAGTCATCCCACATTGGGATATGGAAACGCTCAAGAGTTAGTCCAAACAAGCTAGAAATTCTTCCGTCAGATATTACTTGTAAGTGCTTCGGTATTCGTACAGATAGGTATGAAGTAGCGGTGGCATTGCCTCATACTTTTCCATAAACTGCTTAGATAGATTGTGTCAATCGTCGGCATTCCTGCATTCAATGGCAAGCGGACTAATAAGACAGTAAATTTTGTTTATATCATATTTATCATTTCTTACAGAAATGAAAAGAAGACTTACACTGTGTTACGAAAAGCTGGTTCCCAAGAATTATTCATAGCCGCCAGAAATTGGATGCTGTCGGACGACATGTGTTTGTATCACAGCAGTATAACCAATTATGAAGTTGAGGCATGCGTAAGACCTAGACCGGAATGGGTGTTAATTGATTGTCAAATGTTAGCTGAGCTAGGTAACTGTTTCCGTATTAACTACATTCCTGTAATTAGACTCTTTCGTAGAAGCCAAGAGTACTTTACAGACTGTCCAACGAATATACAGTATACTGTCTAATTCAGATAATCTCGAGGATACATTACCCCTAACCAATTCCAAACGTTAAAGGTAGATTCTTCTTATTGCTTAATGACAGAATACAGAGTTCAGACAAAGAACTCTTCTTACGCTTATAACTCAGTTGAACTTGAAGCAGTGGAGGCACAGAAAGTGTGTTTGCCTTCGAAATAATATTAATGATTTACTTTATTCCAAAAACAGTACTTGTGATACAGAATGGGATTTTCAGCATTAGTCACAATATTGCATCTAGTTTCCTCAAATTATAAATAAAATTAATCACACAGAAAATTTTCCACATTTACAATAGGGGTAGTGTCAAAATCATGCAGCATATAAAATGGAAATAGCAATAATAATGATAACAGCTAGGGTAATAATAATAAGAATACAAGTGAAAATTGCCGTTGGCTTGTGTCACACAGTATTGGCAATGTGGTATAGAAATCCTAACATGTTTAAAAATATTGAATATAACGTTCTCTTTACATGATATGGTGAGGGGAAAAACAAAGATTACAGCCATCATGGAGATAAGTTGGTGTTTGCAATTATGAGAGTAAAAAACAGAAAAGTAACAGGACCATAAACATAATAGAAGTAATAAAAGTAAAACTTGAAGGTATATAAGCATGGATGGAGGAAACTGTTTATTTACTAGATGAAAAAAGGTTAGTTAATTCTTTCCTGACACTATTTTCATCACATAAAATACGTGCCAAGTATGGTATCATAGCATTTTTATACTTAGACGTGCGAGCATAGTTTTCTGAAGTTACTCCTTGTTCTACCTGAGGAGATGCAAGGTGAAAGCTGAGGGTAAAGCGGATGCTCCAAGTCAGACAAAATCCATTTAGCAAATTTATTGCATGAAGTCAAATGCCTATCGACAACGACGTTAACTATGTGGTCCACTGGGACACCACTCACCCTACTGACAGTCTTCAGTATTCTACGAATTGTGACATAGTCCTTTTTAAGCAAACCAGGAAAGAATAAGGGTGAGCAATAAAGAAGAATAGGTAGGATGCAAGAGTTGACAAACTGTAAGATGAGGGGTTGAGTTATACCCGAGTGTCTTAACTTCTTAATGTAAAATGTCAGGCGGAATATTTTACTGGAGATTGCTGAGACATGGGAAGACCAGGAGAGATCAGAAGAGAGAATAAGTCCAAGATACTTAATTTCTGATTTGATTCCTATATCATTGTCGTCAATTTTGCAACTGTCATGAGAATCGATGACTTCTTTTAACCATCTTAAGCTAAAATCAACAGTTTGACACTTAGAAGGATTCAGTTTAAGACCGTTAGACTCAGACCATTTGCTGACTCCCGATAGAAAGCTATTTATTTTAGTACAATCTAGCTGGGAGTTAACAGCCATTGAAACCGTTAAATCATCAGCGTACTTCACAAAGTTTATTTCATCAGAGTGAGGCAAGTCATGCAAGAAGAAAGAAAAAAGAAAAGGAGAGAGGACAGCGCCTTGAGGGACACCAGCTTCAGTAGGCAATGAAGTGGAAGACTTCCCTTTATATACGGTGTACTGCTTTCTATCTGAGAAATAGGAATATAACCAGTTAACAGCCCAACATTCTGTTTGACTAGCAGCAAGTTTATTTAATAAGATGTCCCTAGGGACCGAGTCGAAAGCAGATGTATAGTCTAGGAAGGCAACACGAACAAATTTAGCCCCCTTGTCTAGACTGGAAGCAATGTTATGATATAAGACGGCAGCTGCATCTAAAGTGCTTCTACTGTGCTTATAGGCGAATTGTTTAGGGTCATTAAAGGATTTAAGCGAAGGTACAAGACTAAGTAAAAGTAATTTCTCCATAGTTTTCAAAAAAGGAGAGGTAATAGCAATGGGTCTAAATTTGACACATGCTCCAGTGGATGATTTAGGTATGGGTACAACTTTAATGTCCTTCCAAACGGCAGGCACAATATTATCGGAAAAAGATTTGTTAAATAGATCAGTAAGAGGGTGACACAGAATATCAGAACATTTTTAAAAAATAATACTAGGTACATAATCGGGACCTAAGCTCTGGGAAGGGTTTAGAGACTTGAGGCACTTTTGAACATCATTTGTGTTAAAACCTGGAAAGGGGCTATTATTAACACAAGTGATGCTGGGAAGCATGGCATTTGAGGGAGAGTAAATAAAAGATTTGTTAAGAGTACATACATCAAAAGAATATGGAATATTGTTTATCTGCTTACCACCAGTGATTTCCTTAAATAGTTTCCACATATTAGAAGGATTTTTGCAGGATATGAATTTCTGGTTATATATTACATTCAACCTCTGCATTTCAGACTTAATTAAGAAGTTAGTTCTTTTTATACCACTTTTATCTTTCATCTTATATAATTTTTCCTTCTCTCTACGAAGCTTTTTAAGTTGAGGTGAGGAGAAACGGTCAAATTTGACGAATAGTGTTTCTTTTGGACAACAGATTTCAAAACAGAATTTCAGATAGGATGTAATATTAGAGATATTGTCATCAAGTGAATCATCATTAAACAAATCCCATCTTGTGTCACTGAGCATGTTTCTAAGATGATGCACGTTCTCATTTGAGTAGCATCTGTGAACAACTTTCTTAGACAAGTTTGAGAGGGATTTACTGTGTAACTTTCCGTAAATTTTGGGTAAGACTCGTACAATACAATGATCAGAATTGAAGAGTGGGACTCTTTTACGAGCTTCATATATTCCAGAATCATTTATAAATACTAAATCAAGTGAAGTATTTTGTCGAGTTGGGAAATTAACAACATTTTCATGGCCCAGCAATGTAATAAAACTGCAGTCGCTGGAGTTGAAGTCGCCAGTCACTATAGATAAGGAGTTACCAAACGAAGCAGCAGCAAAAATAGTGAATTCATCAGCGAAGATAGATAGTTCTGAGGGACTGCAACAAGGTGTAATATAGATATTTGTGACAAAAATGAAGCTATACTTAGATAAGTGTTTAGGTCGACATTTTACAGTTATACAATCAATATTGTCATTTGAGAATTTGAAGCAGACGTTGTTGGCAGTAGACCACTGAGAATTAATAAAAGTGACAACACCACCACCTCTCTTCTTCTTTGAGCTGCATCGGTCTTGTGTGTAGATTGTGAACCCACTTAAGGAGACTAAATTATCGT